GTGGTGCAATGTGACATGTTCTGGTGATTTTCATCACTTCATTATAAGAAAGGGGGAGGGGGAGAGAAAGCATGAACACTCATGAAGCTGCCTTATACTGAATGAAACCATCAATCCATCAAAGTCAGTACTGACTAGTCAGACTGGCAGTGGTTGTCCAAAGTCTCAAGTAGAGGGCTTTCATATTGCCTACTGCTTGGTCCTTTCAGCTGGAGATGTTGGGGACTGAACCTGGGACTTTCTGTACGCAAAGCAGAGGCTCTTCTGCTGAGCCACAGCCCTTTACCATTTTGCAATGGTATGGTGAAAACCATCAATCCTGCATGATGTGCCACTTCACATAAGCAACATTCCATGTTCAAGCAACAGCCCAAGGTTCCAAGATGCCAATCAATGCACAACCAAGACAAATCTTATCAGATAGGGGTAACAGGTAAACACAATGTGAATACATGCCCTTAATGTGTACAAGGGTGACATCTATGTACTATTTGTACGTACACAATTACAATCCTGCCCTATATCTTTAACACTAGATAAATAGTTTTGTAATCATTGCCAAATGATAGTACTGCATGTTCTTGGCCTTTCAAATATTGTACTGCAATGTAAAAAAACATCCTAAATAAAAGCTATAGCTGTCCTGAAGCACAAGTTTCTCTCATTAATTCCTCTCCTCCTCATGACTATGGGATATTAAATACAGCCTTAATATTGTTCAACATCTGGCTCAAATTAGCTGCTAACAAAACTGCCAACAACTATTTTCTTAATTGACATTTGGGAATTTGAAAGAGCTTAGAAAAAGAATATTCAAAAAGTGTCCTTGTTTAAGTAGGATACATTTTTGATCAAGTACATACAACAAACATCTGAATAGGGTAAGGTTACTACAACATCAGGAAGGTCAAGTTAGTATGGTCTGAACTAGGGATGCTGTTGGTGGTTTTTCACTTTTATGTTCCATTTGACAGTGGAAATTAAATCTTAAAATGGAGTTTGTTATCCTTCTCAGTAACTATGATTCAACTTTCTGTTCTATAACCCTATGAAGCAGTTGTTTCTGCTTCTTCCTGCCCCCCATATTCTCCTGAGATTTCCAAAACACTGATGCTGGAGGATATGGGACCCATATGAACAAAACATGATGTGGCTGCATGAGTTTGTGATTTGGAACTCTTGGGGGATTACTGAGGGGAAGGAGGAATGCAAAGAAGAACAGCTTTACAAACTTCCTAGTGCTTACGCTTCATATAATCCAAGACATTAACCTTTGCTCATAAGTTAATTTTCTCTAACACAGAGAAATAAGATGTATTCCAAAATTTCAGACCTCAGTCTCTTTGAAACTTTTCCAATATAGTGGAAAGGGGTGGGTGACCTGTTCTCTGGAGGCCAGGTCTACCAATATAGTGGAAAGGGGCAGGGAGACCTGTTCGCTGGAGGCCTGGTCTATCTCTGTAGAGGACATCATTTTGTGTAATGAAATTTGACTTGATTAAAAAATTATGTGAGAGCCTGATGGATCAGGCCCATATTGCAGTGGGACAATGTATCCCCCCAGCTTTCTGAAGTGCTGAAACACTTGAAAAACAAAAGTGCCTAGTCCACCACACTGCAACCCAGTCAGGATTTTTTAAATTGCCATGTTAGGCTAAAAATAGTGGCAGCGTGCCTGGGCTAGAGTTGGGGATGCTATCATGTCTAGTTCAGTCCTGAGAAAGGAGAAAATGGCCCACAGAATGATCTGAAAGCATATGTCATGCTTCTACCACTGAAACTAAGCAGGTCTCATCCTGGGCAATGCCTGATCAAAGTCTGACTGAAACCCATATATACAAAGCACTAATCTTCGGGAAGTAGGGCTGGGTATAATTAATTAAAAGATGAACCAATTCAGGCAAATGCTAAAAATATATAACAATGCTGCATAGAAAACGAACGTGTAGGTATTATGATGGGAATATACTAAAAACATGAATTGTGTAGACAAAGAGTTAGTTCAGATGACCAGGACTGCCAACAATTATTTGATTGACAGGAATATGAAATACCATGGAAGAAGTATATTGAAATTGTCTTTAAGAGGAATAAAAAATGTTTCATCATACTTCTGATCAGGGGTCATTTCGTAGAAAGAGAGCTAGGGGGACTCATTAGCATAACTCATTAGCATATGCCACACCCCCTGACATCACTGGAAGTGTGTCCTCCCCACAGCTGGCGGCGACCTCCAGCGGGCACCAGCAGGGAGCTCCAGGCCCCGCCCTCCCGCACCTCACCCGGGGGGATGGCGTCCCCCCGTGTCCCCCCTCAAATGACCCTTGCTTCTGATACAATAACAAGTGAATATGTGTGCCAGCTTTAGGTGTCTAGGAAACTGGTATTTCTCTAGGTGGACTGAATATGGGCACAGTAAACTAGTTGTGTAAACTGACCACCACCAATACAAATTATCAGCTTGTGCATGATTACTTGCATAAAGAAATCAACAAATTTTACTGTATTCCTAATGAATGAAGCCTTAAATAAAATACTAGAGTTGGCATAAGCAGGTGCTTTACATTTCTGACATATGATAGCCAACTTTACATTTGTATAGGTGAGATTAGGAAACACCACAAGCTATTCTTCAGGTGGATGTTGGTATAAAGAGCTACTTGTGGTATTTTTTCAATGTACATATGTAACAGCAGCTGCAATATAGATGACTGAAAAGCTTATTTATGCTTTTTCTGTGGTAGAGAAAGCTCGGAGTAAACACTACAATACTGTTACTTCCAGAACCCCTATACTTTCCTTTGGCATATCAAACCAAATGTGTAGGCAGACCTCCTTAGATCAATGATGACAGAAACTAAGTGTAATCAAATGTCATCTCACAATGAGACAACCATCCAAGACTTGTCTTGTGACTCCATGAGATCTCCCCACAGCCAAATCAACATTGGGGAATTTCAGATTACCCCTTTTAAGCCATTATTGTACCTTCTTGGAGTAAACTGATACAGGGGCAGCCATTTCACACAGCTTTTCCCCTACCAGTAAGGAGCTGTCTCTGAAGCAGTTTGGCATTTCAGACTGCGCTGCTTTGTTTTCCCACCTTTTTCACCCACGCGGATGATCTTCGTCTTTTTTAAACGTTCTTTTAAGAGCGCTATAGCGCTATAACACAACACCAAAACAGCACAATAGCGACCCCATTGGAATACCCGGACTCCATTGAAATACATGAGATTGGGGGATTTAAAAATAGGAAGTGGAAGCTCAGGAACGCACAGTTTGAGAGCGTTTTTTAAACACTAGCTCCTTCCAGGCTTGCAAACAGCATCCTCCTTTTGATGGCCAGCATTTTGGGATGCCATGCTTCCAGGGGGGACCTGGGGATCCCCTGTACTTTCAGCCAGTGTTCCCTCTAAGCTGAGTTAGTGTGAGCTGGCTCACAGTTTTTTTGCCTCTGGCTCACACGTTTTTGTCTTCACTTAGGAAGAACGGCTCCAGAGCAAACTAATTTATGCAGTAGCCAAATAACTTGCTCACAACTCTAATGCCAGTAGCCCACAAAGTGGAATTTTTGCGCACAGGACTCCCCAGCTTAGAGGGAACATTGCAGAGTTACAGTTTATCTTCTGTGTACAGATATCAGTTCCCAGGCATATAGCAAATGCTGTAGAAGGAGGACTCCATGGCATTGTACTCCACTGAAATCCCTGTTCTCCCCAGATGTAGTTATGTATCTCAGTGGTCCAGGCATTCCAATGGGGTTCGCTATTGTGCTGTTTTGGTGTTGTGTTATAGTGCTATAGCGCTCTTAAAAGAACGTTTAAAAAAAAGACGGAGATCGCCCGCGCGGGCGAAAAAGGGCGGTAAAACCTCATCATCAGAGGAAGCACCCTGTAACACTTCAGGAACGGTATAGAAAATTGAAGACCTCTTGGAAGCAGTTTGCAGGTAAAACGGCTCCGGAACGCTTCCCTAACGGGACAGGAGCATTTGTGTCTTAAAGGGTCAATATATTCCGTTAAGGAACTGTTACTAAAACGGTTCTGTCTGAAATGTCAGTACAGAAACCATTAGTGAACAGTTTCTGAAACGGAATATATCGGCTGTCTGAAATTCCCCGATCATTAACAAGTACCTTCCATCTTACACTGGTTCCTTTGTCCCATTTCACTCACCTGTAAATGAACACTTGTTCTACTGGGTTAGGGATATTAAAGATATACTAAATAAAAACAGATATATCTAAGTATCACCTGCCCTAAATGACTGGAGCAAACAGCTGACTCCTGCATATCTAAACGGATGGAAATTCTATTGATCTGGACTTATTTCCAAATAAAGATGGTTAAAACAGCTATTGTTAAAAATGACGTTTTGTCTCTTTTAAAAATGTTGTAGTAAATATGATTAACACTACATGAAATGCAGGCAACAGCTATTTCTAATGTTACCATATTTTTAAGAAATTGGGCAGTTTATTTTGAATAATTTGATAAATGTGCATTATAATGACCCTGCGCTGTCCTGAAGATATGCCTTTTCAGCTGCCAATCGCCATATTTACCATAATGAAAGAAGGAATCCAAGCTTTCCTCCTGAATGCCATGTTCTCTTTGGCACTAGTAAACAGTGGGCATAAAATACAGGGCATTCTATTTCTATCACAAAATTTTAACTCGCATAAAGTAGTGAAGTTCCAATGTACAAAAAAGGAGATATTAAGAAAAATCAGTTTGACTCTCCCTCATGCAAACAGCTATTACCTTGTCTTGTAACAGATGACTAATGAAACCTAATCTTATTGTATCGTATTGTATTATCCCCAAACAAAGCAGACAAACAAATAACAGGAACTGACATTTCATTGTTGTTACTCAGACCACAAAGATGAACTGACTGATGAAGACACAGCTGTCTAAAGCAACACTAAGGTACACCAAAGAGGTAACAAGAAGCATGACATACAGATAACAGAACAGAAATTGAAAGCCTCCCACCTGTGTCTGTTGAGGGATATTTACAAAGCTTGGATCCCGTGGTCCAACACTGACGAATCGGTTTGCAGGGGAGGTGCTGGGTGTCGAGTAGGCTGTGAAGGGAAGGGACACATGCGTTCAGGAAGCAGCACTAGATCACACACAAGCAACACCAACATCATTCTTAGAGCTACCTAAACAGATGTCGAACACAGAAATGAGCTCACAGTGTAGGGATCAAGAACCTGACTTGAGACAACTGTTTCAGAATGATGGCAATAGAAACATGACATAATTAGGCAGTAGGAAATAGCCTTTCTGTTCAAGACAAAATGAGGTGATGCAAATATGTGATGTTAAGTTCACTGAAGCTACTTTTTTCTTTGAGGCAGTTTACTTAGTACAAGGTTCCACGTGCAGTAAATCATGGGCTCCCATGAAGCATGCTCCCAAATCTTTTGCAAGAAGATACTGTCTTCATGAGTGCTGTTCTTATGTTTGAAGCGATTCACATGCATTTTAGCATGATTGGTTCTTTATTCCATATTAGAATTCTTGCTCCATGTCACAGGAATTGACAAACTCTGAATTATTTGTATCACAGGTTCAGAATGCTAAAATGATTAGCAAATGTAACGAAGCACAGTTGTGGGGGTACAACTGCTCTCTACACAAAGTTATTGGCCATGATGCAGCATGATTATGGTCACAAATGTGGATCCCCTGTTGCAGAAGACTAGGGAATCAGAAAGCCACATAGGCTCTACGAATGCTATTTGATGGTTGGAAATGTGGACTGTGACCATTAGGGCTGCCAAGTCCCCCCGGGGGGGGCGGGGAAACCCCTGCCCCAGAGGCCCGTTCCCCACCGCCAGTGGATCAGGCCCCGGGGGGAACCCCGCCCCGACGTGTGCGTCACCAGGAACTGACGTTAGGACGCCGAGCACACTGGGGGTGGGGCCACGACCCTCGGAGGGAAAACTCTATGGTTTTCCCTCCGAGGGTCGTGGCCCCACCCCCAGCGTGCCCGGCGTCCTAATGTCACTTCTGGGTGACGTGTGTGCGGTGTGCGCTCTGCGCGTGGGCTCCAGTCACCACCCGGGAGTCCCCCGCTGCGGCGACTGCAACAACTTGGCAACCCTAGTGACCTTTAAGCGCTATACATTAACAGAACCTAGATTCCTTCTAAAGCGAATGCCCTGCATTTTAATAATTATTTTATTTTAGAACATTCTTCATTTCTGCTTTTTAGGACTTCATATGTTCAGTTTTTTAAAATTTAAAATGGTACCAACCATTTCCCACATATAATCCATTCACCATTCATGGGAAACTTATTGGAGTAAGTTTGCGTATGATTTTGCGTCAGTGTATTTATAAATTGACGTGATTTAATGAAAAAAAAATTAATCACACATTGAAAAAATAACATGATAATTCCCAAAGTGGTCCTCCTGATAGCACCTGGGTTTTGGCCACTGTGTAATACAAAATTTGGACTAGATAGGCCCTGATCCAAAATGGCTTCTCTTATGTTCTTAAAAAGAAAAACCTGTTATTCTATGAAGGTTATGGTCACAGCTACATCACTAAAATAGTTCTGATATCAATGAGATGGTCCTTATTCCTCCCAAATCAGTATGTCAACTATACTGAAGAGGGGAAGTTACGTAATCCGGAGATGACGTCTGATTCAGTTGCTCTGATACAGTGGTTGGGAAAATGCCATATGAATTTTCAGAGTACTATTGGACTATTCCTGCCAACCTAGCAGTTCGAAAGCAAGAAAATGCAAGTAGATAAATAGGGACCACTTCGGTGGGAAGGTAACAGCGTTCCGTGTGCCTTGGTGTTTAGTCATGCCGGCCACATGACCACGGAAACGTCTTCGGACAGCGCTGGCTCTTCGGCTTGGAAACGGAGATGAGCACCGCAAACCTAGAGTCGGATTTGTCTGGCTTTCGAGCAAGGGAGACCTTTACCTATTGGACAGAATGGCCATTAATGTCATGTTAAATAATGGCTACAGTGGAATTACAATAAAACATTTAGACATAAGAATGAGAACATGATGTTGTACATATGGTGTAATGTATGTCGGTTACCTATAGTTGTCCCCCCACCCCATCACATACAGAGCCTATAAACTGAGAAGATAGTGTAAATCTGCTGAACATCAGAAAAGCAATCCTCTTTGCCAGACTGATGGGGTAGAAGGTGACAGACTGGAATAGAACAGTATCACAGTATCTCCTATCCCAATGCTGCTGAGACTTACTGTCCTACTCTCACCAACTGGTAACGGGAAGTGCAAGATAGCCCTACAATAATAATTTCCTACTTATAGCAGCTCCTAAGTTCCTCACTAGTCATGGTTCGCAAGGGGATTTCCCATGTTTAATAAAGGTATAGTAAGGTACATTTATGCTTTTCAAGTTTTTATATTCTAGATGCATACAGGAATACATTAATATAGCAAATATAACATTATTATTATGAAGTTTGCTTTTCCCTTAGGGCTTTTCTGCACCCGCCTCAGGGTATCCAAGAGTGCTTTTGTGGCAGACTTAAAAACTGATCTGCTTCCGAGTCAGAGTTAATGCTAAGCAGACTTCTTACCTCGGACTGTGTGACACCGCCCATGTCTCTGGCTGTTTCCACCCCTTTTCCCACCCCTGCTTTCTTTTGTCACATCTCCCTCAGGATTGATTTCTCCCACTCTGCTCCCTCTTGGCTGGCATCAGAGAGAGAAACAAAAGGCTGAGCTTCTCCCACCTTTTGCACATTGGACCCTAGGGATCTTTTCCCCCTTTCCTAAAGGCAATCTGCACACAGCTTGGAGAGCAGGTAGAGGGGCAGCCCGGGGAGGTCCTCCACAAGCTTGATGCTTCTAGCTTGGGGGGGGGCATTTGACACACTCCTCCTCACCTTTGCATATTGGACCCTAAGGAGGGATCTTTTCCCCCTTCCCCAATGTTAATCTGCATACAGTTTGGAGGGCAGGTAGAGGGGCAGCCCCGTGGGGGGGGGGTCTACTGTGAGTTTGACGCCTCTACCTTGCAGGGGACATTTGATACACTCTTCCCCCTTTGCACATTGGACCCTAGAGATCTTTTCCCCCTTCCCTGAAGCCAATCTGCACACAACTTGGAGGGCAGGTCCTCTGCAAGTTTGATGCTTCTAGCTTGCAGGGGAGCCATTTGATACACTTCTCCCCCCTTTACACATTGGACCCTACAGAGGGATCTCTTCCCCCTTCCCCAAATTCAATCTGTACACAACTTGGAGGGGGATGTATTAAAAGGAATGACAGTATTGCCCACTGGGAGAGAGCTTGAAGGCCCATTTGTTTGTTTGTTTTTAAACTAGAACCCTTGGGATGCCACCCCTCCCCACAGAACAGCCAGCTGCCAAGCTGGTGTCCCTCTATGGGTTGTGCATGCCCGGAGTGAGAGAGTGGGGAGGAGAGAAAGGGAAGGGTGATGTGTGCCCCATCCATTGCTCACAAACTTGGCCAAGTTAGTGACAATTGGATGTCACAATTGACATTCTCACGCCAATTAAGAAAAACTATGCTTTTCTGTTGTAGCTGCAGAATGAATCCATTGGAGAATAAAATAATATGCAGACGGCAGGCAAAGAAATCCAAAGTGAAGCTTAATGGCTCGACTGCTCAGATTCTCTGCAGTTAACTGCAGTAAGCTGTGTATGCAGAAAGAACCTTAGTCTTATTTTCTTAGTGAATGTGATCAGCAGCCACACCACACTACATTACTAAACTGGATTCCTTCAGAAAAATTAAATGGCAAGGTAGAGGTCTCAGAGCTCCAGCCCTGGTATAACTCTTCACTTTGTTACATCTAAACTAAGTTTCTAAACTGAACATACATTAACAGTACAGTCCTAAAAAGTTACACCCTTCTTCATCCATAGAAGTCAATGGGCTTAGAGTAGCACTTGAAGATCAGTTACAAACTTTCTTCAGCGTCTCCATGTTTATTTCATAACACAAAATATTAACAATGGTCAACTGGCTTGTTAGAACAACATATAGCATGCAAAAGGAAATTTCTTCTATGCTTTGTTATCCTACTGAGTGGATTATGATTATAGATATACTACCCCCCCCCCCAACTGCCTATTGCCATTGTGGCTCATTTAATACATGAATCAGGTCTGAAATTACATACTTAAGATGCAGCCAACAAACCTAGTATGGAATTTATGTTTGTTTTGTTACTGAAGCCTAGGTACAGAGACTAAACAGCAGAATGCCACCTATTTGGAATGCTTAATGTCTTAAAACGGTTTGTGATTAGGATTGCCAGATCCCCCCTGGCCACCAGCAGGGGATGGAAGAGTGGGGTTGTCAGTTCCAGTTTGGGAAACTGCTGGAGATTTGGGGGGGGGGTGTTTGTGGAGGACAGAAACTTCAGTGGAATATGATGCCATAGAGTCCACCCTCCAAAGCATACCTTTTTCCAGGGCAACTGATCTCTGCAGTCTGGAGATGAGCTGCTGGGCATGTGCATGATTAAGCCTGGCCCATATAAGGAGACAAAAGGCAGATCAGGAAGGAGGCCCCAGATCTTCCCCAGGCTGTGGGAGACAGACTTGGGAAGAGGAAGAGGCAGTTAACTCCCTCCCCATCTACATCTAAGGTCTTTGAAAGCCCTAGGGTCTCAGCTGGAACCATAGAGGTGGACAGGGAGGACCAAGACATTGCAGGTCTCCTGGATTCCCTAGCAAACAGCTTTTGGAGAGAATTATTTTTAATTTTCTGTGCCATGAAACAAGGTCTTTAAATTCCTAACTTTCTTGAAAGAGTTATTACTTTCTAAGAGTTGTGGAGTCAACAAGGATGACTGCTGGCAAGGCAAAAATTCCAGGCAGCTGTAATCTAATACTGTGTGCAGTTTCTTCTTCACAAGAAGAAAGATACGTACAAGTGCATAATATGAGTAGCTATACTATTCTCTTCATGAGTGGTACTTAATCCCCTTCAAACACCTCTACTAAGACACAGACAACAGAATATGACAGAACACAGTTCCAAGAGAGTAAGGTTGCACAGGATCAACACCTTTCTCCACAAAACATGCTGTAAAGATTAGAAAATGGGCTTGTTGACAATGCAGTGTTTTAGGACCAACATATAGATCAAGGAAATGAAAGGTTAGAAGCAAATGTAGTTAGGAAAACCATACCGTTCCCACTCCAGCAAGCATAGACAGAACTCCAGCATCTAAACATGATACCCAAGCCAGTACAAGTGTCTGGTCACCTGATTTTAATTTTCCCCCTTCACATGATACCTACAGTACGGCACACAATTCACTTTCCGAAATATTACTTTACTACTCTCACCTGCAGATTCCTGTCTGCAAATTCCAGAAAGTTGATACTCATGAAGATCAATGCAAAGATGTTTGTACTTTTGTTCCTCATTTCACAGTTGCTGAGGAATGTAATTTGGTATCAAGTACTAAATTCAGTGTCCATAGGATCTCAGATTTCATTAATTTTAATTTCTAGCCTATATGAGTCCATAGGATCTCAGATTTCATTAATTTTATTCAAGTTTCTAGCCTATATGACTTGTGAGACTTGCTTGATGAAATCTCAGAAGCAAGAAAGATATAAGCAGTATTCCCAATAAGGCAGTAGTATTTGAGGGCTCTCTTGTCTCAGGACAGAAGAATAAATTTTGAACACATGCTCTATTTACTTATGTTATGCATTCAGAAAATGTAGCTTCTAAATGCATAATTCACATTATCCTGGTGCAGAGTTTTTCTTTGTTTCTGTTTTAAGTATATCTGGTTTTGGATAAATGTCACTAGCCCCTTCTTTTGTACAATGTATACAACTCTCCAAGCACTGGAAACATATTTTGAGAGCCATGCAAAACAATCTGCAGCAACCACTTCACAGAAATAGCTTGTCATGAACAGGTACAATAATATTTAAAACAGATATGTTCTCAGGGTTCACCCACACTGGCCTGGTAAGTCAAAATCATCCTGCTAGATAAATGTTAAGTAACAACCTTTAAGGGGAGGGAAGGCGGCATGGTATAGCCCAATCTCGAAAGCTAAGCAGGATCGGTACTTGGAAGGGAGACCACCAAGGAAGGCTCTGCCGAGGAAGGCAAACCCCCCTTGCATCTCACTTGCCTTGAAAGGCCCTTGGCTGGAGTTGCCTGCAACTTGACAGTACTTTACACGCATAACCACCACCTTCAAATAAGATGACTATCACCTTCTTGGCTGACATGACAAATGCTCTATGAATTTCTATCATTGCTCTATGAAATTCCCCAGTTTTTTTCTATTCTTTATACTCAAGCATCAAGAAAAATGTTCAAATGTGAGAGATCTCTCTTTCTCAAAAGCCAGTGTGGCACAGTGTATAGAACACCAGGTTTCAAACTGGAAGACTGCAGTTCGTATCTCTGCTCAGCCATAAATTGGTCGGCCTTGGGCTACTTACTGCAAGTTTCTTAAATGATGTAAATCATATTATAACAATAAGAGGAACATTTAAAAATATTGTAAAGAAATTATTAACATAAATATGGTAATAATCACAGTTTAAAGATACAGATTCCCAAGATCAGTTGCCAAACACTGGTGGGTTGGGGTTTTTTTGCTTAAATAATCTTGAGAACTGAAGGTAGAATTAACCTCAGTAGTTGCCAGATCAGTAATGCTAGTGGCTGTTGATCATATCTTCTGTTCATATAAAAGAATGGTGCTATACCTATGGACCCCAGGCAAATTTCTCTGTGGGAAAAATCTGTCTAAACATAATTTGTGTTCTTCCCAATTTATACACATTAAATACTAAACAGGGATTTATCACAATGAACAGTCACAGTAAATTATGCAAGCAAGCAATAGAAGGTTCCAAACAGAAAAGCTCATGGAGTAGAGAGCCTCTGATTGAAGCACTAAAGGGCAGCCCCTTCACCTACAAGTACCAGGAGGAAAAATAGATATATCATCAATGGACAAAACCAAGGTGCTTTCCAATTGCCCTCTCTCATGATTATAACACAAGAAAATGTGGTTGTCTGCAAAGGACAAACAAGTCAGAACATTAACTGCCATCACAAACTGTATTCTCAGTTATAAAAAACTGCTGTAAATACTCAGCCATGTTTTTAATACTATGATATAGTAACTGAGCACTGATCATGGTTGTGAAGTGTCAAAACTATCTCCAGGTGACCAGGCATGGTCATATAATTGCTGCTGCATAAAAGTCTGCTGTTCTTTTGTGGCTGCAGAAAGTTTCATGTAGTTGTTCCTGGTTATGTTTTCTTTTCTTGCTCCTTGCCAGCAGTGGCTCATGTGGTGGGTCATATAGACTGTTCTAGCTCCCACCACTGAGCACCATTGAACAGACAGAACTACTATGATATAGTAACTGAGCACTGATCTTGGTTGTGAAGTGTCAAAACTGTGACCAGGCATTGTCATATAATTGCTGCTGCATAAATGTCTGCTGTTCTTTTGTGGCTGCAGAAAGTTTCATGTAGTTGTTCCTGGTTATGTTTTCTTTTCTTGCTCCTTGCCAGCAGTGGCTCATGTGGTGGGTCATATAGACTGTTCTAGCTCCCACCACTGAGCACCATTGAACAGACAGAACAATGTGGTATTCTTACCAGAGGCAGTCAGGAGGCAACAATAGTGAGCCTGAGGCCACAGCTGCAGAACCATGCATCTGCAGTTATGGGCTAGCAGGAGTTGGTATCAGCGAGCGGCTGTATACCAGCATGGTGCCACAGCTGTGGTCCTGGCATTTCTTTTCCATATCCTGAAATTGTCTGATAAGGGCACCACAGTGGTGGAAGCCAGAATCCTTCCAGTGCCTTATCAGACATGTAAATAAGAATGGGTAACCTTAACTCTTTAATGTATTAGTCCAGAATCCTTCCAGTGCCTTATCAGACAAGCTCCTACTATTCTTGTAAATAAGAGTGGGGAACCTTAACTCTTTAATGCATTACTCCAGCTGGACAAACACTTTGGTATACTTCTGCTTATGTGAGAAACAGAAGCTGGCTATGTTCCTAGTCTAGGTACTTGCTCTTTCCTTCTTGGGAACAGCTTTGATTTGCTATGGATTCCTGCTTTGCATTATAGCTGCTGTATGGACAGTCTCTAGCAGAAAGAGACAAATCAGCTAGCAGCTGTCAACCAAATAACTTTTACATACCATAGAAAGGCTCAGAAACATGTGGTATAGTAATGACTCAAACCTACTTTTGAGGTGTGATGAATTTGCATGGGCACAAATTCCTATAATCCTGGACAATTTTCACATCTGGATCGCGACTAAAAGTTAACTATGAAAAAGTTACCTTAGTCAAAGAGCAATTTGAGAGTCCATCCTGATTATGTCCACTAGGAATCAATCCTGGTACTACTGTTGTGTCCTCAGTGGGTTGATATAATTGAAAGGTTCCCTTATTTTTGTTTCTTTTTCACAGAACCAACAACAAATCATTGATGAAGCTTTTTCAAACAGCTCTTTCTTTCCTCTTGGGAGCTGTACTTACTTGGTGAAGTGGGAGAGGTGGCACCTCCTTCTGTCGACGTGGTTGGAGGCTTTGTGTCTGGCACTGGCAGAGGCACAGGCCTGGCCATTGGTGGCGGAGGTGGTGGTGGCAACATTGGGGTAGGAAGGAATGGATTGTGCACCTTGCCTTGGCTGCTACCATTGGGCTGCCAAACACATAAGAAAAACAAACCATTAACTGGTGCTGATTGATGATCTGGAAATCTTACAACATCTACCTATAATTGCTTTGATGCTAAAGAAAAGAAACAACTCTATAGATAAAAATAAGTAGAATTTAGCTTAGAAAATTTTAAATCTATCCTCGCTTTTCCATTTTGTCCATAGTGAATGAATTGTCACTACATGTAAAGCATATTTATTCAATTAGCATTCTCATAGATGAGTTGTTTTTAATTTTATAGGCTCTCTTGAGCCTTAGAATTGCCTATGAACTGAATCAGAAATGACATGGAGGTTTCAGTTGTCCTTCAGATGCTGTGTCCATGGCTGGTTCTCTACCAAAGCAACTGCTTAGTTAAGGCACAATTAGCAGGTTCCAACATGCCTGCTCCTGACTGGTGATAGCATGGTAGGAGGTGACTGATATGGCTTACAATTGTCATTGCTTCTCAGAACTACAATTGTTGTTGTTGCTCAGCTGCACAGTTGAGTCTGACTCTTCGCGACCCCATGGACCACAAAGTTGCTGCCAAAGTCTGAGGTGAGCCCAATGCACCATTGTTTGCTTTCAGCCAATGACAGTGTGGAAGGAGGCAATAAGCATGGATGACACATGTTGTCACCTCTTAGATTCACCCAGCCACCAGCTAGTTCTGCGTGTATCTCCTGTGATGCTACTTGGAGCAGGAAAACATCTTCATCCAGCCCTGGTAATGTCAAATGGACCACTTAAGTCATGTTCTTCAGTCCACTCAGTTACTAGTGGATTTCAAATATAGCAACAAATCTCTGTTTGTTTTTTACAGGCACAAACATAGATTGTTTGCCATGGCTCACTCTCTCTTTTGCTTCTCCCTGCTTTCCTCACAAGTACAGTATGACTGAAGGCTTGCTGGTTTTTAAAGCCTTCAATCAGGTTTTCCATTACATCTAAATAAAGGCACATCGGCACATCTGGGATTTCCCTCCCCCTTCCTGTTCTCTACCAACTGGGATGTTAAGGCAAATAGGAATTGGACTGAAGTTTTCAATTGTACTTGGACAAAATGTGAGGCAAAGGGGGAGTGAATGTGTAAACAAGATTAAAACCACATATAAATATATTCGAAACAATTAAAATATGAACACATGAACAGGAGGAAGGAAGGGTCAATGACAGAAAATCTTCACCTGTTGAAGGAGGACAGTGAAAGAATGGGAGAGATTCATTTCCCTGGAGAGTGAATTCCATAATTTTTGAGCCATAACTGAGAAGGCCCTTTCTTGGGTTACTATCCATCTAGTTTCAGATGCTGAAGGCACCGGAAACAGGCATTACCACAGTGATTGGGCAGGTTCATATGGGGGTAGATGGAATTTAGGTATGCTGACCCCAAGCCCCACAGGGCTTTAAAGGTCAATGCTGGGATCTTGAAGCATGTAGGTTGAACAAAACTGGATGATATGGTCCCTATGACCCACTCCATTCAGAATTCTAGCTGCAGCATTCTGCACCAATTGTAGCTTCCAAACACTGTTCAAGGGCCACCCCCCATAGAGTGCATCACAGTAGATTAATCTAGATTAATCTAAATTAATAATTTATTCCCTTGTGAAGAGCCATGATTTGTTGTTACATCCAAACCACAAATTATGGTTTCTTGCCTCTTAACCAGGATTGTGAAGCAGGATTAGAACCAAACAGACTATAGTTGGTGATATGGATGAAACAATAAACTAGGGTTTGCCATTGAAGTGTAAATGATTGATTTGTAATCTGCATGAGATGAGATGAGAAAGAAAATCTGAAAATTTCCAAGGTTCATTCACCATATGGACCAATCATGGGTTTGAATTCTATATGAACTGTGCAAAACTCATGACTTTAAAAAGGTAGCACTACTCCTGCTTATATGCTTCTTTGATTTTTTCCTTAGAAATTTCAGATAAAAGTAATATGTCCTATAATTTTTAAAAATTTTATAGACTTGTATAATTTTTAGTCCTATTTCTACATCAATCCTCTGCCTTATACTTACTAGGTTGGATAGTCCATTTGTTCTGTCAGAACCTGTCCTTTCTTTCCAGTGAAACATGTCAATGGAACAAAATAGTAAACACTAATCCAATGTGTTCATGTTTACCATAGCATACTAAGGAAATTGCTATTCAAGAGTAAAATGATCTTTGTTTTACCGTCTAGACAGAAATGTATATGTTAGCAAAGCTGGGATATTTAAGTTCATAAGGAAATTGCTATTCAAGAGTAAAATGGTCTTTGTTTTACCGTTTAGACAGAAATGTATATGTTAGCAATGTATATTGGCTAAAATATACAGAATCAGAAACAGATTAACAACGTGATTTTAACCTAACACAGGTAACAAGCTGGATGCTAAAAGCCACCATTTACATGTTTAGCAGAAACAACCAGGGGCAATAGTCATTTTGCAGTTAAGAGTCTTTATTGTTCGCACTATTTTGGGTAATGCTGAATGCAGAGTTAATCATTTCGGCATACAAATGGAATGTTATTTCAATAACGTGAACGTAATTATTAAGTTTGCTTGAGAGAGAAAACTCCTGAAATTGCTCAACCAAAATCTTGGAACGCTATTTAATTTTTCAGACAGATAAGGGGGAAAGATAACAACTCGCAGGAATAACAAACCATAAAGAATGGTACTTTTATCTTCTTGGGTTCAAGTACTGGTCAACTTAATCTAAAGTGCTATAAGAAAGTCATTTAAAAATAAAATGTATGTGGCTGATCTAAAACAGCTGTTTCTTATTCTCCTGTCCAAAGACATAATTAATAAAAATTATAAAGTCCCTCTATTTTGTTAACCTTAGAAGAGCTGGAGTCATACAGCATGAAGCTGATCAATCTGCTATGGTAACATGGCAGGTGACAGTTTTTCCTAAGGGTGAATTAGAAGTTCAGTTCACACATGACAATGTTGTGAAGAATCTAGGGCAGGGGTCAGCTCTGGTTAGATATTGCCAATTTACAAGTACACTGACCACTTATTATTTGGTTGTACTAAAAAATTCCAGAAAGTTAAAAAATGTGTGTGTGACCCTGGGCATCAGAGACTCATCCGACAGCAATAGTGAGAGCCCATTGCTTTCAGTCTTGCAAGAATTAGGCTCAAACAGGCACACCTGCAGTCCTCATATAGGAGAAAGCCTCTCCTGCCCACTAAATCCCAGAGACTTCTCTGTCCTCTTCCCCTGCTCAGCCAATTAAGTTGCCTGGCATAGACTGGACGTGTGCTTTAACTGCAGGACTCTCTGATCAGGAATGGAAGAACAATGAGAAATCTTGGGATAAGTATGGAAGCAGACATCATGGTGGCAGTCAGACCAAAGCAATTGCCGTGGGAAATGCAGGTCTCCAAATGACTTGGTATTCTACTCTCTAAATCTTCAGGCAGACAGAATGCAGTGATTTTTATAAACAGCACTGTCACTCTTCTAATAAATTAATGTTTTAATGTTTTATCTTCCTGATCAATATTTTGCCAATATCTGAGTAGTCAACTAGCCCAGTAGTTTATGTTTACTGACCAAATACCAACCCAAATGCAGTGTAAAAACTTTGGGACACAGTAGCAAGTTTGTGTACCTCCTCCCACATCACAGCTGTTGTATGAACTGGACCCTGCACGCATAATTCATGGGAATGCATTCATATAAGTGCAGTTCACATACATGCAGTTAACAGCATTGGAGCTGCACAAGCCTAAGACATGCTCCCATACCAATCCACATATACATCCCACATACTATGGTCATGTATCAACTGATCCGGAGTTATCTATTTATGACAGGTGCAATCTTTGTCCTGAATATATGCAGCTTTGGCAGGACACAATATGGCTTAATATACCACCAGTGGCATTCTAAACTTGACAAACAGTTCAACCTGGCTTTGCTATAGCCTATCTGTTGCACTTCTGTAATAAAACATTACTATCCAATGGTATGCATTCAAAAGAACACACTAGAGTTGTTGGATCACTGGTGCTTTAAATGTGCCTAGGTGGTTTGCCTAGTTCTGTCCTCATCTCAGTTCTTTGCACAATTCTCTGTGTTGAGAAACCTACAAACCACATTTCATGTGGCACTGATGGTTCTTCCCAGCACATTAACACCTGCCAGCTGTTGCATCAACATATCATCCTGGGAATGTATCCCATGATGCCTGCTCTGTTGGAGGAAGGTTCCCTGAAAAAGTCTCCAGCTAATTACTAAGTTTCAAACTTTGTGCTGGATCAAAACATTAAATAATATGATATTGTACCTGCACCAATCACTTACATGACAATTCTGTGACTAACAGAATTTGGATTAAAATTGATCATATTTGTCATAAAACAAGGACAATAAATTATGGACACAATCTAGCCAAATGTAAGCACGTTAAATTCCCACTGATTTAATTCCTAATCACAAGGTAAGGAACATAAATGTGCTTACCCTTGCCAGGATCATGCCCAAAGCTATTTCCTTGAAACCAATGTTATTGAAATTGTAGTGAATAATTAACCTCCCCCCCTTTTATATGTATAAAACCAGTTAACATAATCCCATGGTTATTGGAGACAGAGGAACAAAAACATTTGAAGAAAAAAAATGGCTTTCTTACATTGAGGAACCCCACCTGTCCAGCCTGCTGGCCAGCATCGGGGCAGACAAGTTGGACAAACTCTTTCAGAGTCTCCTGAGGATGATAGCGGATTGCTGGGTGTGAGAAGTATGGCCCAGGCTGCTGAATAATGGGTGATGTTGGAAAATGAAGAGTCGATGGTGTTGCATGTGGACTTGCTATAGGGAAGAAAACAAAAGAAGTTATAGATTTTTGGAGTTTGGACAATACAGGTTGTTGTTTTTTTTTTAATACAAAACCCCCACAATTTTAACCTATTTTTTTTAAAAAAGAATTCTCACCAAGGGTATACACCTCAAAGTATATAACTGATGTTCTATATAGCTGATCTTCAGAATACATCAGGTCATGCTGAATTATATATATCCAAGTATAAAGGCAAAGCATAAATGAAGCCAGATTTTAAAATGTCTTTTCTGCATTTTTAGTGGTCATCATTTATAAAGGAGCCAGCAGTCCTTGGTAAAAGTGATGACTATTCATTACCTTAAGAGCCTTTCTAATGAATCCAGCAATAAAAAATGTATTTGGGAGATTACGGTTGATTTAATTGACATTCCATATAATTCTGGTTTGCACATAGGGGACCAGTTTTATTTTGAGCAATAAATGGGCAATAACATAATGATGATGCTCTTGCAGCTCTTGTTTATGTCACTTTTCAAGCTCAATGGATTATTATTATTTTTAAGTACTATGCTTTCATGTGAACTAATATTTACATTTTGTCCTTTATAAGAGAAGAATGAAAATTTAAATACCCCCTTGCCCATTTTAAGTATATTGCTGAAAGGTGTCTGGAGTATGTGGGGGGGGGGGGGAAATCACACACCAAGGAATTACAGCAAAGACTGGGAAAAGCAATATGTGATTATTTTAGGTATTATGTTTATCTCAAGACATCGGAATAGCTAAGTACTTTGATGAGTATTAGTGATTTCATCCATTCATTTATAGCAACCAATAAATGTCTTATAAAACCATAGTAGTGCCATGTGATGGATTAATGTCAAAACTAAAATCATGGCATCTGGCCCCATCACTCCTTGGCAAATAGAAGGAGAAGTCATGGAAGCAGTGACAGACTTCACATTCCTGGGATCCAAGATCACTGCAGATGGTGACTGCAGCCGTGAAATTAAAAGACGCCTGCTCCTTAGGAGGAAAGCGATGGCAAACCTTGATAGCATAATAAAAAGTAGCGACATCACCCTCCCAACAAAAGTCCGTATGGTCAAAGCAGTGGTATTCCCAGTAGTACTGTATGGCTGTGAAAGTTGGACTATAAGGAAGGCTGAGCGCCGAAGAATAGATTATTTTGAATCCCCTGGACTGCAAGGAGATCAAATCAGTCAATCCTAAAAGAAATCAACCCTGATTGTTCCCTGGAAGGCCAGATACTGAAGCTGAAGCTCAAATACTTCGGCCACCAAATGAGAAGGGAGCACTCACTGGAGAAGACCCTGATGCTGGGAAAGATTGAAGGTCAAAGAAGAAGGGGTTGGCAAAGGATAAGATGGTTAGACAGTGCTATCGAGGCCACGAACATGAAATTAAGCAAACTCCAGAGCACGACGAAAGACAGGAGGGCCTGGCATGATGTGGTCCATGGGGTCACAAAGAGTCAGACTCGACTGTGTGAATGAACAACAACAACAACAACAACAAAAATGTTTCCCCATTAAGGAAATCCTGGATAATAGCAATACTTGGTATTTACAGTGCAGTGTTTCTGAATGCTCAACATACTTAACATACATTATCTAAGAACCAGACTGCTATCTTCATATGTTGAAGTAGCTTCCATGTGATGGGTTCTCCATGCTGCTACTCTATTGTGGCATATTATGTGGCATGTTATGGTCTTCCTTGTACTGTAAAGGGTTTTGATAGCTACTGTTAGTGCACAAATGCTCCACTTTCACATAGAATAGAAAGATGACATGATGCACGGCATTATAAATTGTGGAGCCAGCATTCACATGATGAAGGTTATGTGTGGATTGCCTCTCAGTAATCCCTACAAGAGCACTATAAGGCCAATACAATTATCTCTGTATTAAGAAAGGGAATTGTTAATTCCCACATGATACACGGAAATGTAGCCAAGACTCAAGTATGTTTTTCTACCACAGAGTGGGTACATATAGTGTTTCCTTCTTCTCCTCTTAGGCACTATCCAAATGTTTTGCAACCATATTCCAAAAAGCCCTCTAAATTTCAATGTCCCTACTGGCTGGACGAAGAATTTTTTCAGCAACAATAATATTGCCACTTACATACAGAGACACTGCAATATATTAAAAAATTGGAAACAATTCCACGAATGACACACAGCAAACACTATACTAAACAAAACCTACTATACTAAATACTAAAATGGTATGGATACTAAATACTAAAATGGCATGTTAAAATATTGCATCACAGAAACTTGATGAATGAGTAGGCTATCTATATATCTAATTCCGAAGTTGCCCCCTGGTGTGCGGATACTTATTTCCGCACATCGGGGGGACCTGGAGGGGAGGGAGAGTTTTGTGCACACGTGGGACAGTCCCCAGGTGTGCACAAAAATCTGAAAACTTTAAAAAACTACCGGGGGGATATTAAAATCCCCCCAAAACTGACAGCGCATTTCCTGCACATGCACAGGGAACGCTCTGCAGCCAGCCTAGCCGCCGCCTTGGAGCGGGGGGGCAGCCAGGCCCGAGCAGCTGAAGCCGCTCGGCCCTCGCTTTGGAGCCAGGTGGCCAGGCGGGGGCCAGCGAGGCCCGGGCAGCTGCAGCCGCTCGGGCCTCGCATCGGAGCC